CCGACGCCCCGGGGTGGCCTCCGCCAGCGAGGGGCCCCTCCCGACGCCGAGGTTGATCAAGTCGCCGCCATCCCCTGAGGAAACCACACGGCACCGATGCCGCTACTCCCCGGACCTCTCCCGGGGCTGCGCGCTGACCAACAATGTCGGGGCGAGTCCAGCGGTGGCGACGAGGGCCTCCTCGAAGGCCTGACCAACAATGTCGGGGCGAATCCAGCGGTGGCGACGAGGGCCTCCTCGAAGGCCCCCAAATGGGGACAGCGAGGGATGGGTAGCGGTGGGGATGCCTCCTCCTCTTCTGATCCACGGCCCCGCCCGGCGCGGCCGAGGCGCCCGGGGCCCGCGAGAGCGCGGCGGCGGCCGCCGCTGCCACGAGGCCCCCCGGCGCCCGCAAGGCGCCCATCGAGGCGCGCGGCGGCCCGCCGAGGCGCGCGCCGCGGAGGGCGGCCCCGCCCGCGCGCCGCGGCGGTGCAGCCGAGAGCCCCAGAGCCAGCCTCCGCACCGCCCCTCGCGCTGCGAACACAAGATCACGGCGGGAGGCTCTTCGCCGGCTTCGGCCCTCGGCCGTGCCTCGGGGCCGCCAGGCAAAGACTCGGGATGACAGGCCGGGTCCCAGGGCAGGGGACCAGGCCTCTGGGCCTCGACGACGTCACCAAACGATCATGACGTCCGGGGTGAGGGCAGATCGACGTGCCCGCGGCGCGGCAGACTGGGGAGGCTCTCGGGAGGTCTGGGGGCCGTCCTCGGCCACGGGGGGGCCCTCGCTGGGCTGCAGGGAGCGTCCAAGAGCGGCTTCAGGGGTGAGACACCGGCCCGGGGGAAGAGGTCCAGACCTCCAGGGACCCCGTGCAGAGGCAGTCAGGACGCCGAATGCCTGGGCCTCTCTCTGTCCCTGGGCTGCGCCACGGGGGCCTACACTCCTCCGCCTCCATGTCTGCCCCCGCCCTCTGCTGCCACTTCCTCCTCCCTGGACCCCCGCGCCGCTCAGGACCACCTGCATGGGCACGGCATGTGATGGGCACTCGTGCTCTCTCCTGCTGAGCGGGCAGTGCTGCGCTTACGGCCACCGGCTCTCTGGCCTCGAGGACAAGAGTCCGACGACGCGGACACCACTCGTGCCGGGCACTCGCGGCGGCGCAAGGGACGGCGTGCGATGGTGAGTCGGAAGCCCAGTGCCTGGACAATTAGAAAGGCAATGGCGAAGGAGGAACGAAACTTGAAGGACGAGAATCAGAGGGTGAGGATGAGAGGACATGGGAGGAAAGATATTAAGAATCGGAGGAGCCTCCGAGGCGGACCGCGACCACCAGTTAGGTGGGCGAAGGAGGAGGAGGAGGAGGAGGCAGAGGAAGAGGAGGAAGAGGAGGAGGAGGAGCAGGAGGAGACTCTAGAGAATCTGCCTGATCGTGTGGCGGCATGAATATGAGTCCACCTGCACATGCTGTAGGTTCAGACCCACCCCCTTCCGTTGACACCGCCCTGCCTCTACCCTCCCCGCTCGCTTCCCCGATCCCCGGACCCTGTGGGCAGGGCATGGCAGGGCGGATCGGGGCATGGAAGGTCGGGGATCTGCTCTCCCTGGTCAATCAGACCCGGCTTAGCAGGAAACCAAAAACTGCAATGCATGAGACAAACTACTGCAACGCAGGGCTTCGCCAACCCGGGTCAGCAAATATGCGCGGCCGCCTCGCGGCCACGAGCGGCTCGCTAACTTAACCCGGGCCAGCCAGAGGGGGTCTTCGCAGGATCCTGCAGGATCCGGTGCCCTGGCTGACCCCCGTTTACATCGACCTCCCGTCTCTTAAGCTCCGAGATGGGGTCAGAGGCCCTCTGTCGATCCTGCCCGCCCCTGGCGTTGGCCTGGCGCGGCCGCGGACCACGTGGCCGCACCGCCACCCGCCGCTGCCGCACACCTCTCTCCCGCGAGCCACCGCGGCCGCACACCCGGCACCGGCGGCCACCGAGGGAGGGCGGAGTGCAAGCGAGGGGCCTTGCACGGCGCTGGCCGCCCCCGGCCAAGGCCGAGAGGCGGGCCGCAGACAAGGCATGGCCGCGCCCTCGGGACCGAGCCGAGGAGGGCCTCACCACCTCCCCGCGGGATGGGCTCCCCGCTCGGACCGCCCTGTCGGCCTCTCTCCCCTCTCGGGGAGCCTCCTCCCCGCTCGCCGGCGCCGCGCCCGCCTTCTTCTGCCGCGCCTGTCTGCCTGGTTGCCGCAACACCTCCCCGCCCTCTGCCCTCGATAGCTCCTCTCCCCCCCCCCCTCCCCCCACATCGCCCGTCACGCGCCCCGCCGCCCTGCACTGCTGCACGCCCCCCCCTCGCCTCTTGCACAAGGAGCAGTAGGGGCGCCCCGAGATCGGTCCGTCGCTCCCCCCCCAGAGGCTGGGGCCACTGCTCGGGCCTCCCCCCGATGCTGCCACCACCATCGAGGGCACGGAGCACGGACCCGCACCAGCGTTCTCTTCCCGCCCCCTTCGCCGCAAGAAGTGATACGCTCTGGTGAGACGTGCGCCTCGAGGGCCCCGGGGCCCGAGGGGCCGGAGAGGGCGGCCCATCCAGTCCATGGGGGGAAGTGGTGCTCCCACTCGGAAGAGCCACTGACTGGGGTGACCTCTTGCCGGGCACGCAGGGGCTGGGCACCCAAGCTGACGAAAGCTGCGTGCGGATGTCGAGAACGCATGGCACCAACATCGTGGCAGCTTCCCATGGGCAGCAGGACACGCCTTGGACCCCCCAAAAGACATCATGTGCAACACCGAAGCAGTGCTCGGGTTAGACACTCCCAGAAAGCAAATATCAACCAGACGGCCCCCCCTCACATACCCACACACACACACACCCGCACACCCGCCCACACACACATACACACAAACACACACACACGCACACACGCACACACGCACACCCACACACCCACACACCCACACACCCACACACCAACACACCCACCCACACCCACACCCACACACCCACACCCCCACACCCGCACACACCCACACCCGCACACACACACACACACACACAACACCACACACACACACACACACACACACACACCACGCACGCACGCACGCACGCGCACGCACGCACGCGCACGCGCACGCCCGCGCCCGCGCACGCACGCACACGCACACGCACACGCACACACGCACACGCACACGCACACGCACACGCACACGCACACACGCACAGCACACGCACACACGCACGCACACGCACACGCACACGCACACGCACACGCACACACACACACGCACACACACACACACACACACACACGCACACACACACACACACACGCACGCACACACGCACGCAGGCACACGCACACGCACCGCACACGCACTCGCACTCGAACATGCACACACACACACACACACACACACACACACGCACACACGCACGCACACACGCACACACGCACGCACACATACACACGCACGCACACATACACACATACGCACACACGCACACACATGCACACATACGCACACACACACACATACGCACACACACACATACGCACACGCGCACACGCGCACACGCGCACACGCGCACACGCACGCACTCACGAACGCACGCGCACGCACGCACACACGCACACATACAAACACCACACACCACATACAACACAGACACACACGCACGCACGCACGCTCACACACAAACACATACACACAAAAACACAAACACCAATACTCGCACACACACAAACACGCAGACACACATACATACACACACGCACGCGATCGATAACCGCTGCTGTATAACGCGCTATACAAGGGGGGCATTTGAGTTTTCGTGACACGAACGATCTACAACGAATTGTTCTTTGTCAGGCACGCGTTTTGCTCACATCGTGTACTTCGAGCAAGCGCAGTGTGTCGAACAAGTGCCCGCGAGTTCAGGCTCGAAGAGCATATGCTCATGTAAAAAACACAGAATGCAAAGGCTTTGCAATCCTAAGGTAGCACCGTGCGAATTTCTTCCCAACTGCACCACCCGTCTAGTCTAGTCCATCGCCTTCTGTCCTCCTCCTTGTCGCCCTCACCCTGGTATTATTCCTGCTGCTCGTCCTACCCAGCCTCCCTTCTGTTCTCCCAGGCCCGCCATCCACCTTGAGATCCCCAATCCTCCTCCTCCTCTTTCTCCAACCCCTTCCTCCTCTCTACATTCGCCTTGTCCTCCTCCTTCTCCTCCTCGTCTTCCTCATATCCGTTTCCCTCGCGACCCTCATCCCCAGCATTCTCCTAGATTCCCCTTCTTGTCCCTCCTTCTCTCGTCATTGTCGTCTCCTCCTGCCCCTCCTCCCAGCTCCTGCTGCTGTCGAAGATCTAACGGACGTGTATTTGTCCACAAGATCCGCCTCGGTCTGTGGAGCGCAACGCGCTACATGCGGCCAAGGGTTCCACGAGGTAGCCCTGCCTTGGGCTACCCTGCGCTCTAAGCTCCGACGCCCCGTTTTGCTCGAGATCCTGGCCCCTTGACCCCTCGAGCCTCTCCCCAACACGGGCTTTCCAACTTGAGCGTTCCGTTGCGACGGCCCTGAGCCCCCCAGGGGCGAATCTGGAGAAACGCGAGAAACCACCAGCGCGGTCTCCTCCGCGCCGCCAGGGATCCGCAGAGGCACCGGTCCTGCCCCCAGACATACGGGGCCCCTCGAAGTCCCGACCCTCTCCCAATAGGGCCAGTCTATCACCCCGAATGACTTTTTCTCGGTCACAGATCCCAGCGAGGGCCCCCGCCCAGGAGGCCGCAATTGGCCCCGAACCCTCCTCGTCGCGTTTCCTTAACCATGTGAGCACATCTGCCCTGAATGTCCAAAGTGCTACAAAGCAGCCCTCCAAACCCATCTGGACTGCTGAGAGCCTCGACTGGGCGAGCTCCTGGTGCTGGTCTTTGGCCCTCCAGGAAGGACAGGCTGGGCTCGTGTCCCGCTGCCTCTGCCCCCCGGCGCCCGCTGCTCCGGCCCGAGCCCGGCCCCCGCGGGCGGCGCGACCTGGACCCGGCCGGCGTGGCCTGGCGGCAGCAGCCTCCAGGTGATCAGCGGGTCGAACACGAACGCCTCGAGCATCGCCATGACGGCGTCCTCTGGGCGGCGGCAGCGTGCCGCCTTCCAGGCCTCTCGCCCTGCGTGCGCGCGCGCCTGGCGCGTTGGCCCCGGCAGACATGTGCTTGCGTCGTGACAAACACGATGACGGAAGGTGCTGGCCCATTCTCGCCATCCTGGGGCCCTCGCCTGGCCCCGGGACTGTCAGCAGAATGACTCGCGGGATGCAAAGCTGGTCCTGGGGCGAGGGCCGGGGCTTACTCGGGTTGCCCCGCGTTGGAACAAAATGGACATCACTCTGGGGCGCTCCCCTCGCGTCTGTGGCCCGGACATGTGAGATCGTGATTTTGTCTCAAACGGTGTCCCCCAAAGTCCCGACCCTTTCCTCAGGACCGTCCCGAGCCGCTTTTTCCCCATATCGTAAGATGGGGTTCGTGTTATTGCTGGGACGCCGCTGCCTCACTCACTCACCCGCCTCTGGTTCTCATGTCCTAGAACAGTGCAGAGTGGAGCCCCGCCTAGCTCAGACTTGCGCACAGTCCGACTCAGACTTCCTCATACTCAGACTCTTTCATCTCTCATCGCTCATATTCTCCTCCTCCTCCTTGTCCTCCTCCTCCTGCTCTTCCTTTTCATCCTTCCCATCACCTCTCCTCTCCTTTTCTTCTCTTCTCTCTTCTCCGTTGCGTTGACATCACACGCAGTTCACTCATACTCATATGTACGCACATTTTGACTCACTCATGCTCATACTTGCTCAGACTAAGCCTAACGAACACTCAGACTTACTCACACTCAGTCTTGCTCATACTCGTACCTCCTCCTGCACGTATTCACTGCCACTCAGACTCACTACACGCAGACCCACTCGAACTCAGACTGGGCCCCCAACATCCCCCAAGACCGCCAGCAGGCCCCCAAGAGCCCCCAAGAAGCCCCAGGAGGCCCCCAAGAAGCCCAAATCACGCCCGAAGAGGACCCCGAGAGGCCCCCGAGAGGCCCCCTAGACACCCCACAACAACCTCCAAGAGGTTCCGAGAACTCTCCCAAGAGATCGCCCACAGGCATCCAAAACGCCTCTGACCTACAATCAAAGCACGCTGGTGGGATGGGTGGAAGGTCGCTCGATCGATTTGTTGTGTTTTCCCTCTCTCTCTATGTATATGGATGCATATATGAACAGATGCGGATATATGTATGTATGCATATACGTGTGTATGTACATATAAACCTGGCTATCGCGTTCGCTCGCTCCCTCTCTTCCCCTTCCCTCCATCCCTTCTCCTGTTCGCGACCCACACGCACATGAGAAGATGTGCAATTCAATCTGGCAACATCCGCATCTGCAACCCCCCCAGACCTCCCGAACCGCTGCGTTCAAAGGTCGTCCTTGTTGCCCCTGAGCAGCCGCATGACAAGCTCACAAGTGTACCTTGTGGTGGTGACGCGACGGAGGATGGGGAAGAAAAGGAGGGGCGCGGAGGAGGGAAGGAGAACTGGAGACGCGGAAGTGTGCTTGTGTGTCTCTCGACGTCCCTTTGCCATGCACCATTTTGACCCAGGGTTGGCTTGCGACCGCCCCTGCCAGACAAAACATGTTTGTGCGTGTGTGCGTGTGCGTGTGCGTGTGCGTGTGCGTGTGCGTGTGCGTGTGTGTGTGTGTGTGTGTGTGTGTGTATGTGTGTGTGTGGGCGTGTGTTGTTGCAGCTGCTCGCTGGGTCGATTCGGCGTGTTTTTTCTCGAAGTCTCCTGTTTGGTGGCCAATTCACTGTTTCGCGACTAGTGATTCTGCATCCGTCGACCGGAGATTACTGGCGCGTCGGTGGAACATCCTGCGCGCGCGTATTTGTATGTATAGGCGGCGCAATAGCGCTGCGCGTCACCAAAGGAGAAGCAGCGAGTACCGTCGAAACAAGGTCACAAGAATGTGGATCAAGAACATGGGCCCCTTCGCTGAGGTCGGGCATGTCCTCCTACAAGGGGGTTTTTGGACAAAGATACTCAAATATTATAAAAGCAATGCTACAAACATCGTCTCCTGACTATGTTTGACTATTTTGGAATATTCCTCCTGTAGAGGGACAGGCCCGACTTAAGCCTTCGCCGAGAGCCCAAGGCCCCATGGAGATATCCAAAAGGGAGAGCATTCCAACGTGGGGATCCCAACGGCGAGGGACGGAAGGGAACCGCTTCGAGACTATCACTGTTTTTTTACCTGACTACCTACCAGACCACCCCAACCCAACCCGAAGACCCGAATTTCGGGTTGGGGGGGGTACGGGTTCCATATGCGTTTTTTTCCATGTTCCCCGACGCCGCCCCCCACTGGAAATGGAGGGCAAATCGGGGCCTTCGGGTTGGGTTAGGGTGATTTGGTGGGCGGTGATAGCCCTAGCGCCAGCTGCATGCGTGTGGGAGGAGGGGAGCAGCAAGGAGGACGGCTAAGGTGAGAGGCTGATTGAGGTGAGAGGAGGGCAGAGGGAGGGAGGCCGCGAGGGAAGAGGACCGAGGAGGGACGATGAGGGGGCGGGCGCTTGAGAAACAGGCGATGACCCGGAACACGGTCGGTTCGTGCGGCGCCGGCGCGCGCAACGGTTTGTGACGCCGCGTCGATCGCTCAATCTTGAACCGATCGCGACCCCGATTGTTCAAGGTCGAATTCCGTCGGGCCCAGAGGCGTCAATATGTCCATCGGTGATTCCGCGTCGCAGAATTCAGCCTTGAACGCCTCCGCCGGCGTTGCAGGCGCGCCAACGCCGCGCGCAAACCTAGCGCAAACCAAGGATAACTCACGAATCGCGCTGCATGGGCACCCCCAAGAGGCCGCATCCCAAGAGGCGTTTTTGCACCTCCACGGCTACGTGCCCCCAATCAAGAGAACCAAGACGAGGGAAGAATCCGAACATTCCTCTATCTTGTTCTGCTGGGGACGCCTGCCTTCACAGAGCTCTGACCGGGCCGCCCTCCTGGCGCCAGGGGCCCCTCTGTCTCCGGACGGGGAAGAGCCAGCTTGACAACTCTGGCACACGCGCTGCAGTAACCCGGATGCTGCCAACCTGCTCCCAAAGGCCTCCGGCCGGGACCTCCGAGGAGGCCTCTGGGCGCCGCCACAAGAGAGGAATGCTGGACGCTCTCCTCACGGGAATCTGAACCGAGACGTCCGAGTGTGGCGCCTCGTTGCCTTTCGGCCGTTCGGAGTCGGGCGCGCTCCCGTCCGCACTGTCGGCCGTTAGACTCCATCATTAGGTCGGGCGTGTCCCCATACAGGCGGATTTTGGACCTCAAATAAAACATATCCCAACAAAATCCCAAAACATATTCCAACATTGTCAAAGTTGCACCACCTAGATTGCACACCATAGCCTGCATCAGCTATACCGCACGTTGACTGCATCATATAAGTTGCATCACATAGATTGCACAGCAAATATTGCACCACATTGACTGCACCACATACATGGTTGCACGTAGCTTGCACCACATGTATTGCACAATATCGATTGCACCACATAGATTGCTCCAAATGACTTGGGCATGATGTATTGCACCACATAGAGTGCACCACACAGGTTGCACAACATAGCTTGCATTCTACACAATATATATATATGTGATTATTGCACATCATAGGCTGCACCGCATTGAATGCACAACAAAGACCACACTACATATTGTTCCGCATAGATTGCACCACATAACTTGCACCACATAGGTCGCTCCACATATATTGCATCACATAGCCTGCACCACATCTGTTGCACGAGCTAGATTGCATCACACATATTACCCCACGTAGATTGCAACACATAGATGTCACCACCTACATGGCACCACGTAGGTTTCACCACCTGAATGGCACCATGTAGACAGCATGCAGTCTATGTTGAGCAACCTACTTGGCGGCGACGAGGCGGCGACGGAGCGGCGGTGTGGCGGCGACGGCGGCAACATAGCCGCCACACCGCCAGAGGACGACAGGCGGGGATAAGGCGGCGACGGGGCGGCGACGGCGGCAACATAGCCGCCACACCGCCAGACAGGCCCAGACGACGGGCGGCGACGAGGCGGCGACGGGGCGGCCACGTAGCCGCCACACTGCCAGGCAGGCCCAGACGACGGGCGGCGACGAGGCGGCGACGGGGCGGTGACGAGGCGGCGACAGGCCCAGCTGCTTAGAAAAGAACTAAGGTACCATAGGTGCAAGCACGGCTTGAGGAATCTCTCTCTCTCTCTCTCTCTCTCTCTCTCTTATATACATACATCTATATACACACGTGTATCGTTTATACACAGGTGTACATATACGCATGTGTGCAACATGACAAATACGTATATATGGTTGTATGCATGCGTGTATGTATGTGTTTATGTAAACGCATATATATATATATATACACAGTGTTTACCATAAACTACCGACGTCGGGGCAACTGGGAGGGGCAAGAGCAAGGAACACGAAAGGTGTAGGGCCCATCCAATTTCCCAGATCTGACCGAAACCGACGCGTCCCCCGAAACGCCGACGACGGCACCCCTAGCATGGTGCAGATCGATCGAAATTAGGACCCGCGCCCAAATATACATACACATACATATATGTATATATATATATATACATACATATATACAGATTCCCCAATCAGTGCCTGCACTGAAGGGGTCGCAGCAGAAGTTGAAAGATTTGGCAAAAATTTCCCGCCGTTTGTGTAGCAGGCTGGGTTCCCGGGTTCCCGTTTCTTGGTTCCCGGGATCCTCGTTATTGGTTCTGGGCCGATTTCGGTGGGTTCTGGGTTCCCCGGGCTCCCGGGTTCCTGGTCGATCTCCTCAGCGAAAACCATCCACTTAATTGTGGTTTCTCTCTGGTGTAATATATGTATGTGTATATATATATATATGTTTTGATCAGCAGAGTCCCAACACAGTGCTTGCAATTTTGGTTTCTGAGTTCTTTCGTAATGAACTGGACCTGCGCGGCGGTCTGGCGGCTATGTGGCCGCCGTCGTCGCCCCGTCGCCGCCTCGTCGCCGCCCGTCGTCTGGGCCCGCGGGCTGATCTGTCCGCCATGAGGCCACCGTCGCCGCCTCGTCAACTCGTCGCCGCCCGTCGCCTTTGCCTGCCCGCAGCCTTGGCCGCCATGAGACCGTCGTCGCCGCCTCGTCGCCGCCCGCCGCCCCGTCGCCGCCCGCCGCTTCGTCGCCGTGCACTTCGCATTGCTTCGCATTGCTTCCTATTGCTTCGCCTTGCTTCGAGTTGCTTTACATTGCTTTGCATTGCATGGCATTGCTTTGCCTTGCATTGCTCTGCATTGCTTCGCATTGATTTGCATGGCTTTGCGTTGCTTAGCATTGCTTCGCATTGCTTGGCACTGATTTGCATTGCTGTGCACGGCTTTGCATTGCTTTGCGTTGCATTGGTTTGCGTTGCTGTGCGTTGCTTTTCATCGCTTTGCGTTGCGTCGCATGGCTTTCGATTGTGTTGCTTTGCTTTGCACTGAGTTGCGTTGCTGTGCGATGTTGTTCATTGCTTGTAGTTGTTTGCATGGCTTTGTAATGCTTCGCACTGCTTTGCAATGCTTTGTGCTGCAAAGCATTGCTTTGCATTGTTTTGCACTGCGATGCATTGTGTTGCACTGCAGTGCGCTGCCTTGCGCCACATTGATGGCATAACCTAGATTGCACCACATGGATTGCACAGCCTACGTCGCACCGCATAGGTTGCAAGACATCAACGTTTGGGGTTCACGCTGGCTAACACATATATACATATATACACATATGTATGTGTATATATATACATATATATATATATATATACATATATACAAAACCTTCTCCAACCCTGGAGAAACCAAAAGGTACTGATATCGCTACTCCCCGGGGGGTCGTTTTGACCAGAATCTCGAAGCGAATGCAGCGGTGGCGACGAGGGCCTCCCAGGAGGCCCAAAAAGGGGAGAACGGCCGAGGGGTAGCGGCATGGGTACCTTGTCCTCCTATGCAGCCCCTGAAAAATATTCAAACGTACTCCAAAAATCGTCCCCTGATTTTTTTTTGACTACTTTTGGGTATTCCTCCTGTAGTGGGACGTGCCCGACTTAAGGGAAGGGGGATGTCGTGGGCTCGCGCTGCTTCGGGTGCCCCCAGTCCGCTCACTTCAGCCCCTGCCCTGCGCGAGGAAGGAGGAGGCAGGAGGACCTGTCCAGAGGGGCGGCGAGAGGGACCTTCTTGCTTCCTTTCGAGCGCACGGCGCGCTCGTTTCGGGGGCGCGCAAACATGGATTAGAGATCCGTGGATTTGGCGCGTGGTCGCCGAATCCATGGATCGGGGGAGGTGCCCTCCCCCAAAAACGGCCGGTGCCGCCTCGTTCGGCGGCGGAAATCCGAGATTCCCCATGGACAACGGAACCCGTCGCTAATCCACGCCCCCTTAATCCATGTTTGCGATCGCCTGATCGTTGGAGAAGCGAGGGACAGAAATCAACATGAATTCGGAGTTGAGAAAAATCAGCTCGCGCGACTTTGAAAGCTGCCTCGCGTATGGGTCAGGTGTGGTGGCCCACCATGTAGAGATTGCCATCCTCGCCGCGAGCGAACGTATTCGTGGCCTCGAAGCAGCCCCCTGTGCTCACCTCGGGGAAGCCCGAACCGCAGGAACCGTAACAGTCGCCCCACCTCAAGGGGCGTGGGAAGCCAGAGGCGGGACAAGGGCGGGCGCTGACCCAGGGCTGGCTCAAGTTCTGTCTTGGCCCAGGCATTGAGGTTTAGGCTGGCGCCGAAGGCCTCCATCGCGAAAGCGTGAGAGGCCGCGCACACTTGTGGGTCTCGATGCCAGGGCTGTCTCAAGCAGAGCATCGGGGCCGCAGAGTACCAGGAGAAAAAACCAGAGTGCCCTGATCGACGCTCCCATTCTGAGAGGACGGGGCCGCACCTCACCGCCCCATCTGGGCTTCGGCCGCCCCGGTCGCCTCCTCGGTGCACGCCACCACGGCACCCTCGGGGCCCTCCAGGAGCACCTGCTCCGCGACGGCCTCGACGGTTGGCAGGGCGCGGTTGCCCAGGAGGCCCTCCCAGCTCGACAGCACGGCCTCCCGGCCCCGCGCAAAGGTCCTCCCAGGCTGCGCGCACTGGCTCACCATGCCTTGGCGGCGCGCAGAGCGGGGGAGGGGGAAGGGGGAGGCTTCTTAGAAGCACCCATGCTTCTTAGAAGACGCGGGCCTTCTCTATAGACGTAAGGCCGAGGCCTTCTAAGAAGCAGGGTGCTTCTAAGAAGCCTTCCCCCCTCCCCCCACCTCCTTCTGCGCGCCGCCAAATGCCCGCAGGGGCCCACAGGCGTGCCAGCGCCGCGCCGTCGCGCTCGTTGAACGCGCGGTAGTAGGCGCTGTTCGCCCGCCGCGCGGCCGCCCTGACGGCCTCTGTCTCGAGGCGCCGCCCGCAGACCTCTGAAGGGGCCCTGGGACGCACAAATTAATACACACAAACAAAAGGATCCCCCGTATTTTCCAAGATTTTCTGGGTTTTCGTCTTCCCCCCCAGTGTCCATATTTTCAATTTTTTCCGGGGGATCGACGATGAATTCTGTCTGTGTTTTTGTTTCCCTCCTGAACCTCCTCCCCCTCGTGGCCCGCTGGCGCCGCCCCGCGCTCGCCCTCCCGGTCCAGCTCCTCGACGGCCGCCTGCCAGCGCAGCAGCGCCGCCCTGGCCTCCAGGGAGGCCGCCTCGCTGGCAGCCGCGGCCTCCGCCGCCGCCAGCAGCCGCTCCACCGACTCGCGAGCCTCCAGCTCCCTCTCCTGGTCCTCGCGCGTCGCCGCGCCCCTCGGCGGCGTCGCCGCTCGCCGGGCGACCTGCCGCGGGGGGCGCACGGCCACCCCCACGGGCCCGTCCGGCTCTGGAGCCCTGCTCGCCCAGGGCCACAGGCCAGCGAGCCCCTGCCCCATCGCCGACATGGCGAGCCCCCCCGCGCCGCCCACGACCGCCCCGGCGTGGTGGCCGACGCAATGCCACACGCCACCCTCGCCCCTGACGAAGCAGTTGGTGGCCTGGAGGCAGCCTCCAGTTGACGTCTCCTCCACGCAGCTCACGACGGCACAGCCGTCCATCGCCAGGAGCACGACCTCGTCGAGGATGTCCATGGTCGGACATGTCGGTGCTCGGAGCACGCCCTCCCAGCTCCGAAGAATCGCATCACGGCCTTAACCGCCCCGATACGCAACACGCAACTCCTAGCATTTGACGCGGAGCTCAACACGTAGACTGAAACAAACATACGTATGGCGCGATACGTTCGCCAAAACGTGGGCCAACACGTGCCGAGCGTCAGCACGAATGCTTTGAAGTCGATACGTGCTGCGTGTCAACACGGGCGTATCGGGGCAGCTAAGATCACGGCCTACCACGCGCTTCTTGTCTGGGTGCACGCAACTGCATGCTGCGGCCTCCGCCGACCACAGCTCGCCCATCGCGGCAAGGTCGCGGGCGTTGAACGCATCGTAGAACTCGGCGTTGGCTCCGAGGGCCGCCCGCGCCGTCTCCTCGCGCTCCTCTGGGGAAATCACGACGATACCGCTGCCGCCACTCCCCGGACCAGGCGTCCTGACCAGAAGTCCGAGGCGAATCTCACGGTGGCGACGAGGGCAACCCCTGGAGGCCCCAAAGAGCGAGCACGAGGCAGGGGTAGCAGTGCACGGTCTCCCACGAGGCCGTAGGCGACCCGAGCAGGAGGAGGAGGAGGAGGAGGCGGAGGAGAAGGTGGAGGGAGGGGAGGGGGAGGATGAGATGGAGTAGGAGGAGGAGGAGGAGGAGGAGGAGGAGGAAGGAGTAGGAGTAGTAGGAGTAGGAGGAGGAGGAGGAGGAGGAGGAGGAGGAGGAGGAGGAGGAATAGGAGGAGGAGGAGGAGGAGGAGGAGGAGGAGGAGGAGGAGGAGGGAGGAGGAGGAGGAGGAGGAGGAGGGGGGGAGGGGGGAGGAGGAGGAGGAGGAGATGGAGGAGGAGGAGGAGGAGGAGGAGGAGGAGGAGGAGGAGGAGGAGGAGGAGAAGGAGAAGGAGGAAGAGAAGGAGGAGGAGGAGTAGGAGGAGGAGGAAGAGGAAGAGGAGGAAGAGGAGGAGGAGGAGGAGGGGAGGAGGAGGAGGAGGAGGGGGGGACGGGTCGCCTAAGCCCTTCGGAGAACCCCCCAGGCAGGGGTAGCAGTCTCGGTACCTTCTCCTTCCGCCCTCCTCCTCCGACAACCGCCACGGCCTGGCAGCCTCGGCCTCCGCCGCGCGTGCCTCCGGCCGCTCCCCGGCGATGCCCGCCCAGCTCGCCCGCAGCGCCCTGGCTCGCAGGCGCCCCGCCTCGCTGCCCATGGCGCCCTCGAGCCGCTGCAGCTCGCACACCTGTGTGAGGCAGGGGTTTATCCATATCTACCGCCGATGAGGCGGAGGAGGAGGAGGAGGAGGAGGAGGAGGAGGAGGAGGGAACCGACGTCCTGGTGCCCCAGCGGGCGGTGGATATGGATACATGTTGGCCCCCAGGGGCCCGACTATATCCATAGCCACCGCCTGCCGAGGTCCCCGAAGATTGATCCTCCAGGCGGCGGTCATGTGTAAATTCCCGCCTCGGACACCTGGAGATCCGACGCCGCGAACCCTGACGTACTCGCTGGGCGGTGCGCACAAAGGGGGGGTACGGGGGGGGAGGCTGCTTGGAGGGAGGCTGCTTCTCAGCAGGCGTCGCCCTCACACCGACAGAGAAGGCTCGCGCGCTATAAGGAACAGGGGTGCTTCTAAGCAGCCTTCCCCCCTCCCCCGACCCCCCTCCGCGCATGGCTGATCTGGGGCAATCTTCGGGCTCCAGGGGCCCGTACCCGGCCCCGGGACCGTCAGAAACGACTCGGGATGAGAAGCCCGGGAAGGCGCCGGGACTTCTGGGGCCCCGGCAGCGAACTAGGCAGGACATCGCATGTCTGGGGCCTGGGCCCCATGCCTGAGTAGATCTTTCTGCTGCATGTTTCGAGCCAGAGCGACCTGTGATGGTCCTGGGGCCTCAGGCCGGGCAAAAACGCCCAGTGTGAACACACACACACACACACACATTGAGCTTGTTTTTGGTAAGATTCTGACAAGTTTGCTTACGTGAAGGGGCGGGGGGGGGGGTCGCGGCGAGGCCCGAAACAAAATTTGACTTCACGCAAGTCGGGACTCACTTGCACGCCTCTTCGGCCCAGCGCTGGTTGAAAAGGCGGCAGAGGGGGAGGGGAAGGGGCGGGGGGGGAAAAAGGGGGGACTTGCCATGCCAATATACTGAGATTTGCCAGAGTCTGAACAGAAAACGGCACGGCCAGAATCTAAGCAGAAGATTGCCAGAATCGATACCGGAATCGAAACTGAATCTGAGCACAGAAATTGGAGACCTGCCTGCGTGATTAGACTTGCCCGAATCGAAACCGAATAATGAGCCGCTTCTTGCCACTGCTGGGTCGGGCATGTCCCCCTGCAGGCGGATTTCGGACGAACCAAACCCACACATGCCAACAACAAATAATCAACAAATAATCAAATAAATCGTCCCCAGACATTTTTATATATATATATATAGAAAAGAAAAAGAATTGTTGCTAATTCCCCCTGCAGAGGGACATGCCCGACTGAAATGCCACGGCCAGATCTCAGGGCACCACGGCCCCTGCCGCGCCCGGCGCGCCCGCGCCCGCGGCCCTGCGCGGGGCGCGCGGCCGCGAGCCCGGGCCCGCCGCGGCCCCGCGGCCGCGCGCCGCCCAGGCCGCCCCGCGCCACCCCGGCGGCGCCAGGCCTGCGCCGAGGGCCGCCGCCGCGAGCACGCCGGCGCGCGCCCGCCGCCCCGTGTGGGCGCCGCGCCCGCGCATCGGGCCGCGCCCGCGGCGAGCGCGGCGGCCGCGCGCGCCGCTTCCGCGGACACCCCGGCGTGGCCTTCGGGGAGATCGAGGCGGCGGCTTCTGCGCCACAAGTGGTGGGCCTCTCGGCGGGGCACCGGGGCCTCATGCAGCGGGCTCTGGGAGCGACGTGGCCGCTGGTTTGGTTAAAGTCCCCCTAACAGTGCTTGCACTTAGGGGTTCTCACTTCTGCTCTAAGGAACTGGGCCTGTCTGCAGGCCGGGCAGCTACGTTCCCGCCGTCGCCGCCCCGTCGCCGCCTCCTCGCCGCCCGTCGTCTGGGCCTGTCTGTCGGTCTGGCGGCTATGTTGCCGCCGTCGCCGCCCCGTCGCCTCCTAGTAGATTGCGCAACATAAATTGTACATCGTAGATGGCACAACATCGATAACACAACATACATTGCACAACAAATATTCCACACCATGGATTGCTTCACGTAGATTGCGCCACACATGTTGCTACACATGGACTGCACCACTTAGATTGGCCACCTGTGATGCTCCACGTTGATTGCATCACATAGTTTGCACCGCGTAACCTACACAACATGGGTTGCATGCGTGAGTGTATCTCTCTCTATCTATATAAACACACATATATATGTGTGTATACACGGTAGTTTGCACAACATAGGCTGCAAACCTCGAGCCCGTTTTCGCTCGAGCAAAACACCACATTCCCGAGGCCGGGCTTATCATTACCCCCAGGAGATGTGCAATTTAAATACGTTCCTGCCCCATCGCGCATCCTAGATACGAGCCCACCCCATCCCAGGCATGCCAGAGTTCGAACTCCCCCTTCTGTGCACGCACTCGTTTATCACACATCAAGAGTTGGCTGAAATCCTTTGCAACAAATGGGACGAAGTGGACACGCGCGCGTCGTCGGGCGCATGCCAAATCCTTTTTAACAACCGTGGGTTTCGCAAAACATTCCAAACCGAGTGTCTCGAATATATATAAACAACACCTGGTTTTGCAGCGAGGGTTTTCAAACCAAGCATGCGCCAGTGCTTTTGCGAATTTTTAAGACAACCCTTGGTATTGAACATGTCCGTAAAATTCTACCACACGGGCCTCTCGCGCGCGTGCTGTCGCAAGAATCCCTTGCAACAGATGGGCCGACGTGCACGCACGCGCGTCGCGCGAGTATGCCGACACCTGTTCAACAAAAACCTTAGGTGTCGTAAGGATGTCAAAGAAGTGTCCCGAAGCCACAACAACAACATCACGGTGTTGCAGCATCTTCTTTTAAACAATGTCTGCGCGCTGTTGGCGACTTCTTGAGAGAACGATGGGTTTCCAGCATTGCAATTCAAGAATGCCAAACGGGCTTCTTGCCCCGCATGTCGAACTCATCCGAACGCCCTTGCGCGCGTGCTGGGGGGCACGATCCGGGTCAAATAGTACCTAGTTGGCCACCCGCGCGCGTTGACCGCGCGCGCATGTCGAATTCCTTCCACAACCTTCATCGCCGACGCGAGGACATCGTCATCGTTATCGGCGGGCGAGATCAACATCGGCGCCGTCATTGGCCTTGACGTCGGCATTGCCAGCATCGTAACCATCATTGTTTTTTTCATTATCGTGTCTACCGTTGTCGGCGTCGCCATGATATCGCGCCCGCCCACGTCACCGACTCGCACTGAAGTGCCCGCTGGAAGTGCCCAGCGGTCAAACGCCACCACGGCCGCGTCGGTCGCGCCGCACTGGCTGGTCGCTGCGCGCGCAAGCATGCGCGGGCTAGCGCGGCCGCAGAGATGCACCAGCTAACGCCAAGCACTCATCGCAATCGTCGTCGCATGGGTTTTGCAGACCACGTTGCGGGTGGGTCGGTGGGATGTTTGCGCGAGCAGTGGAGTTGGCAGCTTCGAGTTCGGCAGGGCGACTTGCACGTTATGGATTCCCCCACACAGATTTCTCCACATCGATTGCACTACATATATTGCTCCACGTACAGAGCGCCACATACATCGCTAGAAACACGCTGGTTGGGGCCCACGCTGGCTAACATTCGGGCGCAGATGTTTGATGTTTCTGGCGCCATTGTTTCACCGTTTTCTTTTCCCCTGGTGGGGGCCTGGTCGATGTCACAATTATTTGACCGTGCCCGAGTCATTTTCGAACCGGCTCCGAACGTCCTCAAAATCCCCGGACTGCCCAGGCCGTTTCGGTGATCCGTTTATGCTACTACCAGAAACCAAGCGACACCACCCTACGACCCAGCGATGTTGCAAATTTAGGCACTTGTGCACCTACGAAATCACTCCACCTACGACCCAACGGGTCGTAGGTGGGGTGGTGTCGATTGGTTCTTGGTCTATCTTCACCGCTTTCATGATCAAGAACAGCTGTTTTGACAACGGGAAAAGAAACGGCCCTGCCGTCTCCACGGTGCCCGGCGCGCAGCAGCGAGATGCTCGGGGTGAGGAGCTGGCCCCAGGGTCGACGAGCGGCCCGGGGGGCCGTGCCGTGCCTCGAAACACGCCGAGCCGCCGGACGTCCAGGGTTCGGCAGGGCCCGGGGCGAAGCGCGAGGCTCAGACCGCGTGGCCTCAGCCGAAACGGCTCAGGGTTGCTCGAGGCCGAAGAGGGACATCGGCCAAGTGGCGGCGCGGGTCGAGGCCAACGCGGCGGCAAGAATGCTCACCCACATGCGCACGCCAGCGGCCAGAGCGGCCCCGAGAAGGGCGGTGAAAGTCCAGGACGCGCTGCGTGGGAGTGGATCTCTCCGCAGACGGGCGCCGAAAACGCGAACAGGGGCGCCAGGGGGCCCGCAGCGATGGCCCTCCGGCTGGCAACCTCCCTTGCAGTGGTCGCCGCGCCCCGCGCCACCGCGCCACTCCAGGGCAGACGTGGAGAACCAGCAGGCGCAGCACCCGGCGCACAGCACCGCCGGGCCCAGGCGAGGGGCAGGGTGCGAGCTCCGACGCCACGAGTCTTCACGTGGGCCCCTGGGGGCTCTCCCAGGACGCCGAACCTCCCAAGAGGTTCTGCACGTTGGCAGGCAGGCCTCTGGATCCCATCTCCCGCGTCGGTTTTTCGCCAGGAGTCGCGTTCTGACGGCCCCAGTGCCCGAGAAGCGGCTCCAAGACCCAGACCTGCCAACAAAACTGCCCATCTTCATCTCTGTCGCGGCACCTGGAGACTTGGAACAGAAAGCTCCTAAACGCCCCAGAGTGCCCTGAGCTGCCCAGGCACGCCCGAGAACACTGACCTTCGATCGCCGACGACGACGACCGTTGCATTACTTTGCAGGAGGCGGAGGCTCGGAGGAGACATGTCCCTCATCAGCACCCTTCACCGCACGTGAACCAGGGCCGCACTTCCTGCGGATGTAGACGAGTGCGCCGCACTACTCGCAGAGTGACTACTCGCAAATGACCTGGAGCCGCCGTGGGGGATTTACGATAGATTACATCGAGGAAGGCAGGATTTGTGTCGGACGTTTGCGAATAGGCACTTTGCGAGTAGTGGAACGCACTCGTTGAGGATAGTCCTTGCTCCAGATCTCGAGCGGATACCCTGGGACCGCCTCCGTCAGCCCCACCCAGCAAGCCGTCTCTCGGCAAGCGCACCGCTGCCATGAACGGGGCGAGGACTGGAGAACCGGAGGCTCTCCCGACCTTCGACTACACGCAAGAGTGACCCTGGGTAAACGTGACCTTTGGTGCGCGGCTTTTGGGGGGCCGCGGAGGGACCAAACACAAGCGCGCCAGAGGCTACTACCGCATCGCGTGCGATCGGGAGACCCCAGTGGGCCCGCACCAAAGGTCACTCTGGCGAAGGGTCACTCTTACGTGTAGTCGAGAACTGGTCCTTCATCCTGAGCCGTCTGTCGACGGCCCCGGGACAGGGAGAGGCGGGCTCGTGGCGCGTCACGGGGGATGTGGATGTGGCGACCCCAATCCCCGACTTTGGGGGCTTTTTGACTGCCCCAGCAGATTTGGGGCCCAACCCTGGGATATACAATTGGGGGGGCGCCCATCCTCGATATGGGGTGTGTCCGAAGAGCCCCCTGGGGGTGCATCTCAAGATTCTCCCCCTCGTCTGGACGGCCAAACTCTTCGGGCGGAACCCGGGGATTGGGGAAGAAGAAACGCCTGCGAGCGAGGATCTCGACTCGACCCCTCGGGAATGGGGAAGCCAAAAGGTACCGCTACCGCTGCTCCCTGGACCTCTCCGGGGGTTCGTTTTGACCAGGATCTCGAAGCGAATGCAGCGGTGGCGACGAGGGTTTCCCAGGAGGCCCAGAAAGGGGGAATACGAGGTAAGGGTACAGGTGTGGGTCAGGTGTGGGTACTCCGGATGGGCTAATAATCGCCCCCCCCCCCCCCCTGGATCCGCTGGGGGGGGGCGCGTGCTGTCGGAACGGGTGGGGAGGGTTGGAGGAAGAGGATGTCTTTAGGAATCGACGCCCTCTCTAGATGTCGACCTCAGTGGACAGAGCCGCCGCTAAGACCGAGACTTCCACGACCTCACTTCGAACGTCGGCAGCAAAAGGGGGCACACCCGAACACGGTGGTGCATCGTGCCACGACAACCGCAAGGATTTTTGTTTACCGTCAGCGGCGAGGCGGCGAACTCCGCTTTAGCGACTTGCTAGATAGGGGCACTAACAAGCGAATTGACCGGCGAGCAAGCAACCGCAAGGAACACAAAACTCGCTGGCAACGTACCCACAATCAAATATTCCAGCAGGGCCCTGGTCATCCCCTTTCTCACTGGGCGTAAGATTAGAGGAGGCGGGGGCTGCTCTGGGAGCGCCCAGGCAAGCTCACAGGGCCGATCCCCCATTTGTCCCGCAGCTCCCGCTCGAAAGACCTAGGAGAAGCTCCCTTACAAAACAAGGCAAGGAGCTCGGGAGAGTGACCCCAAGAGGAATCCCGCAACCCCTATCATCGAGAATCGTCATGTAATTGGGCATGTGCCAACCCATGACGAGAGAGACAGAGAGAGAGAGAGAGAGAGGCGCAACGCAGAGATTTGGCCAGAAACCGAAGCACCAAGTGATCATCTGACGACCCCACCCCGACTTCCAGGCCTCACGAAGTTCAGAATACGACAGGCTGCCAGCAGATATCCTTGTCTGTGACTGCCAGACCTCCCCACCCCACCTGACTATCGGGGCCGTGGACACCCTCCACGTGGGGTCATTGGCCAAAATAAAACAAGCCGTGCGACTGCGAGACTGCGCAAAGGGTCTGACCTCAGTCCTGCGCATGAGCAAAGATCGCGTTCGCTGACCCCCACGATGTCGCTGCCGTGCGCTCCTCCCGCGAGAGGACCAGCCGAAAACACCATGAGGTTTTTCTCCCCAAGATGCCCGACTTTTTCTTGATTCTTTGGCCCTCCTGCACATCTTGGCCATTCGTTCTTTGAGCTTGCTAGAAGAACCCCTGCACCTGATGGCTTTGCCCGCCGAAAAATCAAATCCAAGGTTCACCGTGGTGTCAACCACTCTCCTTGCAAGAGCCCCGAATCTCTTAGCAACTTCGCAAGCCACGGGCTTGCAAGAAGAGACAGTGCACACCTTATCCAAAGCGACGCTGCAGCCAAGCAGAGAAGTGCTGGCATGATGGAGAGCCACCGTGCTGTCAACAATGGCTGCAAGGACTTGCTTTCGTCTACCTGTAGAGGAGAGCCCACCATCATCAACATAGATATCGAGGTCTTGAAGGAAAGGTGGAGCATCAGGAAGGGGAGGAACATGGAGGGGGGCGGCATTGGGCAAGGCAAGCTCAGTCGGAAGGTCCCCCCTTTGATAATACTCCTTCCAGGGTACCTTTTCCTCCTCTGAATCTCGAGTCAAAACCCATGATTGACCCCATCCGAGCCGCCCCGCCGAGCATTTCTCCGCACGCGCACCGATCAATTCTCGGGCGGACGGGTACCGATAGTTGCCCTCGACGCCGGAGACCTCCAAGGCGTTCAGAAGCATGCGCGTCAGCCGGAAGGGTATCTTTTCTGGGTGCCGCCTGCTGTTATCTCCCTCGCCTCCCCCTTCCCCCTCCTCCTCCTCCTCCTCCGCTCCTCCTCCTCCTTCTCCTCCTCCCCCCTCCTCCCTCCTCCCTCCTCCCTCCTCCTCCCTCCTCCTCCTCCTCCTCCTCCTCCTCCTCCTCCTCCTCCTCTCCATTCTTCACATGGTCCCCCTGCTCCTCCTCAACTTGGTTCGTGTAGTTGTGCCTGCGATGATGCGCGAAGGGTCAGTTATGCAAGACCTGAAAAGCTGAAGGCTCCACGGGCTATCATCATACTCTTTCTCGTCGTAGACCTCTTGATCTTCCCCCTCTTCCCCCTCCTGCTTCGCCGCATGCTGCTGCTCCTGCTGCTGCTCCTTCTCCAACTCATATTCCTCCTGATGGTGCCGCTCCTCTTCCGTCTCCAACTCCAACCCACCACCACCACCACCACCACCATCATCATCATCATCATCATCATCATCATCATCATCATCATCATCATCACCATCACCATCACCACCATCACCATCACCATCATCATCCTCACCAGCACCATCATCATCATCATCATCATCATCATCATCATTATCATGAGCATCGCCATCATCAGCATCACAATCATCGCCATTGCCATCGCTATCGCCATCGTCATCGCCATCGTCATCAACGTCATCATCACCACCACCATCAACATCATCAGCAGCATCGCGTTCACCATCAACATCGTCTTGACCATCATCAGTACCACCATCATCATGAACACCAATATCATCCTCGTCCTCCTCCTCCTCCTCCTCCTCCTCATCCTCATCCTCCTCCTCCTCCTCATGATCCTCATCTTCATCAGCAGCATCAGCAACCTCATCATCCCCGTCGTCATCATCATCAACAGTAGCAGCATGAGTTTCATCCGCATCAGCATCAGCATCAGCATCAGCAGCAGCATCAACATCAGCAGCAGCATCAGCGTCAGCGTCAGCATCATCATCATCATCATCATCATCATCATCATGACGATCATCATCATCAGTATCACCATCATCTACATCACCATCAGCATCACCACCATCATCACCAGCATCAGCATCAGCATCAGCATAACCATCACTATCATCACTATCATCATCCTCATCATCATCATAATCAGCATCATCATCAGCATCATCATCAGCAGCATCATCATCGTCATCGTCATCGTCATCATCGTCATCGTCGTCACGATCATCACCATAACCACCGCCATCGTCATCACCATCACTATCGTCATCATTCAGGTTCTCCGCCTGAGCCTCATCCTGCGGATGCTGCTCCAATTCGCCGCCGTCCTCCTCCTCCTCCTCCTCTTCCTCCTCCTTCCTTGCTCTGGCCCAGCTTGAGGCGATGGCAACGCCCGTAGCATCGCGCGACGTGCGCGGAGAAGAATGACGAAACGTAGAAGCAACAGCCCAGCAGAGCCAGAGAGGGGCAGCAGGCCGCCTACGGCGGAAAACAGCAGGACATGGCAGAACGGGGCACACGAGGAACACCGCAGGGAGGGCCTCCCCTCCCCCCCTGCTCCAGATCCCTTATGAATCGACTCCCCCTAAAAAACCGGACCCCCCTCCAAATGCGATCAAATCTTCCGGACCCCCGTCTTCGACGGGGCGTCTTGATAAACTAGACCCCCAAAGCTCCAATCCAAAAAAAACGCCCTAATGAACCAGACCCCCCCAATTACAACAAAAGGCGCCTTAAAAAAACAAACCCAGGGGACGATTGATACGGAATTTGGAGTACCCCAGCCGCCCTGGCGAAGCATGCCCGAAGCGAGAAGGCCTCCCGTCCTTCATCCAGGCCGCCGTGGCCCACCCTAGGCAGTGGCCACCTGGGACGAGAGGAGGGCGCCGAAGGCGCGAGGCCTGCGACGACCCGCGGGGGGCAGCGGGGTGGCGGGCGGGACACCCGAGGAGGAGGGGGAGGAGGAGGAGGAGGAGGAGGAGGAGGAGGAGGAGGAGGAGGATGAGGAGGAGGAGGAGGAGGAGGAGGAGGAGGAGGAGGAGGAGAGGGAGGAGGAGGAGGAGGAGGCGGAGGAGGAGGAGTTAAAGTAGCCTGATAGGAAGAGGAGCAGGAGGAGGAGGAGGAGGAGGAAAAGGAGGAGGAGGAGGAGGAGGAAGAGGAGGCGGAGGCGGAGGAGGAGGCGGAGGAGGAGGAGGAGGAGGAGGCGGAGGAGGAGGAGGAACCCTGGGGCCCTGACCGTGGGCCCCGGGGGCTTCGACCCCTTCCCCGGGCTCTCCAGCTGCTCCTCCCGAGAAGTAGTCTCTGGCGGGGCCCCGACACGAATCTGAACCCCCTGGGGATGGGGTCGAGAGGCCTGGGGGCCACGACTCGAACAAGTCGAGCCGCCGCACATCTGAAGCTGGAAGGGAGGGGTTGGGAGGGAGGACCGTCTTCATATGAGGCACACGCGTCGCGACCCCACCCATCCCGCGCCGTTGCAGCGGGGGGCGTCTGTGCAGACTGTGGCGCAACAGTGTTGCGCTGCACGGACGCGGGAAACTGGGGGAGCGGTGGAGGAGGAAAGGCGGGTCGAGGAGAGGGAGGGTGAGGGCTGAGACAAGGACATAGGAGGGGAGGGACAGAAGTTACCCAGAGTGGCCCAAAGAGAGCAATATTCCTCGTGGCTCAACATGAGAATCACCAGCTACCAACCAACCACGCATGTCAAACTACCACTACTCCGGCACTCTCGCCTCCGCCGCAGATATAGTTTGCAGGGCACGATGTGTTCGCAAGTCGACCACGCTTCACGAAGCTGTCACGCAACTTGTGGTAAGCGGCTGGGTACGTGGCCTGGGAGTCGTCGTGGAATTGCAAGCACAGCTCCGCCTGGATGAAAGGGAACTTGTTGCTGTCCATGATATAAAGTGAGTTGCCGCCAAAGGTATCTGGATCTGATCCCAGACCTGGTCTCAGCGTGATGTTCTTTGTGTCTGCCGCCTTTACCGCCTCCAGGACTCGTTTGTTTTCCATGCCGCCTGGTACACCCAGCACTGAACGATACTCCGAACCTTGATCATAAAAGTCGGGCCTGCTCCACTGGCCCTCGTCGAATTGCATGAATGACCCAAAATAAACATTAAAGGCCTGCTCCAAATAATCCAATGGCACCACAACCTCCACTACTTCTGCGTGGCCCAGAATACCATAGTCAGAATAGTTCGCGGCATTATGGTAACAAGCTGAACCATGTTTCCCTGTCTTCGCGGAACCACCGTAACCTTGAACTGCAGTGAGCTGGTCGTCGCGCCGGCCTAAGATGTTTCGCTCGAAGCCCTCAACCAACAAATATTGATGGGCGAAAAAACAGCCATTGCCAAAATACAGACGGATGGACATATTATCCAGCATAGCTGAAGCTTTTGCTGCGAATTGAGCTACTGCCAAAGCCAGCATACCTAGGCGGGACGATCGAGCCATCGCCGCGAAAAACAACCCTCAAACAAATGGACGTGCGGGACAGCCCGATTTCACCAAATTGAAGGCGTCTTGAGTCCAAATTGCTACGGACAAAACAGAGCAGCATCAACAGGAGCAGGACCATCAGGAACTAGAGGACGGAGAGGAGACGGCGGAGGAGAATGAGTGATGACGATGCGGATGCGCAGCAGGTAGAACTGTGAGGCTGCAACACACCATTGATTGCGGTTGCACTGCAGCCGCAGCCAGTCCACACTACCAGAATTTGGTGAACCAAGCAGGTGACAGTTCAAATGCGGTGCCCTCGACCAAACTATAGCGACTCCGATCTATAAGCGCTCCATGACACTGGCAGATAACCTTACGACTAATAGCCACAAGCTTACCCGAGCTCATACAGGCACGCCTGCATCGAATACCCATCAACACCAGACACATGTGCCGATGGCATCGACTATAAGACCCAACAGATGACTAAGCAGCCAAACTGAACTATCAACGAGTACCAGTGCTCACCCATGTCGTACAAACGGCATACATACAAGCATGATGCCACCTGCGCCCAAGGCCAGCACTCCATCAATCATCTACCATACTGTCACCAGCCAGGAACCCGTACCACGCACCAACACCCTCCTCTATCCAACTGACACAGGGAAATGAAACATAGCAGACTGCGCAAAAGTGACGAACTCAGGCAGCAAAAGTCGATCTGTTCGGCGACACGCGCCACGGTACAAGGGAGGTGTTGAAGGCGAACAAAAAATCAGAACATTGTGTTCGCAGACAGTCGCGTGCGGCCCCTTACGCATGGAGCAGTGTCTGTCGTCAGTGTCGCTGACATAGAGGTCCGAAGATCATGCTTTGAGCGGTGAGTTCCTCAATCAAAACCAACCTCCAAACTCCGGATCCTGGGTGAAAGTTCGTGGTGAAGTCATGGCAGCTTGGTGTGGACACCGCTGGCTTCTCTCAATCAAGCCACAATCCCCATACGAAAACTGCATCATCGCTACTGCGCGCATCCACCGGTGGCTGCCTACACCGAGTTTTGGTCAATGGGACAGCGTATTTGAATACTGACTCTACCGAGGAGCCCCGCGCACTTATTTCAGATCTTGCGATATCGTTTCATGCGGCACCGTGGTATGTTCGAAACAGACGAGCCAGCCAGGCCAACCAACACGACCATCCAGACCAACCAGACCAGCAAGAGCAGAGACGCTCCAATATCGTTCTAAGACGCACGGGGCAGCCAGGTCAACAAACCAGACCAACCAGACCAGACCAAAGACGCTCCAATATCGCTCCTATACGCCTAAGATGGATTCTACGACGACTACTACTACTACTGCTACTACTACTACTGCTACTACTTCTACTACTACGACTACTCCTACGACGGCTGCTGCTACCACTGTACTGCTACTGCTAATGATGCGACTGCCACGACTACTATTACAACGGCTAGTACTTCGACTAGGACTGCTACTGCGACCTCCTACTACGACGACTACGACTACTACCACTATTACTGCTACTACTATGCTACTACCAGTGAACCTACTACCATTACTAATGCTACTACTACGACTACTACTAAGTCTAC